GCCTAATAAAAAGTACCTACAGAGGTTGAGGTGGGAGGTTAACTTGAGCCAAAGATTTTGAAGTTACAGCAAACTATGATCATACCATTACACTCCAGTGTGGGCAACAGAATGCTCAGAAAAAAAAAAAGTGTATATGAAAAATGGCATTTGTGTGTGCTGCAATGATATAACTGGATCCCTTCTAACCCTATGGAGAGGCCCATTCTTAAAGATAAATAGATGTTTGTTGGAGGACTAACATTGTTTTGGTGAGACCAAGACAAACAGCCATAAAAAGGAAGCTGAAAGTAAAATAGACAATACATGAAACAGAAGAAAGCCATACAAATCTATAATATCCATAAATAGATAAGAATATATAATATCCATGAGACAAGTGCAGAATTCTATTTTAAAAGAAACAATCAGAGGTCAGGAAAAGCTCCATGTATCAATAGAAGGTCAAAAGAGTAGGGAAAAAAATCCCCAAATGTAGAACACAATAAGAAAGAGATTTTTAAAACAGGAAAAAGATAATAAAATTATCATATGAGAGGTAAAATATAGAAATAGTACAATTTCCATAATGAAAGAACAGAAAAATGGTAAGAAGAAACAATCAAAGTGCTAATACAAGAAATCAATGGAACCAAAAAAGACTCCACATTGCCAAGACAATCCTAAGCCAAATGAACAAAGCTGGAGGCATCACGCTACCTGACTTCAAACTATACTACAAGGCTACAGTAACCAAAACAGCATGGTACTGGAACCAAAACAGAGATATAGATCAATGGAACAGAACAAAGCCCTCAGAAATAATTCCACACATCTACAGCCATCTGATTTTTGACAAACCTGGCAAAAACAAGAAATGGGGAAAGGATTCCCTATTTAATAAATGGTACTGGGAAAACTGGCTAGCCATAAGTAGAAAGATGAAACTGGATCCTATCCTTACTCCTTATATGAAAATTAATTCAAGATGGGTTAGAGACTTAAATATTACACCTAAAACTATAAGAACCCTAGAAGAAAACCTAGGAAATACCATTCAGGACATAGACATGGGTAAGGACTTCATGTCTAAAACACCAAAAGCAACGGCAACAAAAGCCAAAATTGACAAATGGGATCTAATTAAACTAAAGAGCTTCTGCACAGCAAAAGAAACTGCCATCAGAGTGAACAGGCAACCTACAGAATGGGAGAAAAATTTTGAAATCTACTCATCTGACAAAGGGCTAATATCCAGAACCTACAAAGAACTCAATCAAATTTACAAGAAAAAAACAAACAACCCCATCAAAAAGTGGGCAAAGGATATGAACAGACACTTCTCAAAAGAAGACATTCATACAGCCAACAGACACATGAAAAAATGCTCATCATCACTGGCCATCAGAGAAATGCAAATCAAAACCACAATGAGATACCATCTCACACCAATTAGAATGGCAATCATTAAAAAGTCAGGAAACAACAGGTGCTGCAGAGGATGTGGAGAAATAGGAACACTTTTACACTGTGGGTGGGACTATAAACTAGTTCAACCATTGTGGAAAACAGTGTGGCAATTCCTCAAGGATCTAGAACTAGAAATACCATATGACCCAGCCATCCCATTCCTGGGGATATACCCAAAGGATTATAAGTCATGCTGCTATAAAGACACATACACACATATGTTTATTGCAGCATTATTCACAATAGCAAAGACTTGGAATCAACCCAAATGTCCATCAGTGACAGACTGGATTAAGAAAATGTGGCACATATACACCATGGAATACTATGCAGCCATAAAAAAGGATGAGTTTGTGTCCTTTGTAGGGACATGGATGCAGCTGGAAACCATCATTCTTAGCAAACTATCGCAAGAACAGAAAACCAAATACCGCATGTTCTCACTCATAGGTGGGGAATTGAACAATGAGATCACTTGGACACAGGAAGGGGAACATCACACACTGGGTCCTATTTTGGGGAGGGGGGAGGGGCGAGGGATGGCATTAGGAGATATACATAATGTAAATGATGAGTTAATGGATGTAGCACACCAACATGGTAAATGTATACATATGTAACAAACCTGCACATTGTGCACATGTACCCTAGAACTTAAAGTATAATAAAAGAAAAATATATTGAAAGGTACAATAGTAAAAAGAAAAGGATAGGAGACAACAGTAACACAAGTTTAGAAGCTGGAGTACAGATGGGCACATTGCAATCAACTTACTAGATTTGAGATAGCTGCATCCTATCCCTAAAGTAGAAAAAGGTGAGAAGTAATCTAATTTACCTCACAGAACCCCCAAGCTCAGAGAATAGTATTCTCTAATAAGCAAGGGTGAAAATAAGACCAAAAATAGGAGGCTTGGTTAAATGTTTCAAAAACAGTTAGACCCTCACTCTTCCACTCCAAGTACCTCAGTGACTATCCCTCCTCGATCCTGGCAGAAGACTGGAGATTAGTTATTGAAGCAATGTTTGTCATTGGAGTGACTGGAAATAATCAAAATATTCATTGGAAGAGAGCTTTCTAAATAAAATTGGTACATTCACACAAAGGGAGATTATGCAGCTGTAAAATGTGAGTAAATTATGTACTCATGTGGAAAGACTTCCGAGATATACTGTTAAGTAAAACAAGCAAATAAACAACCTAAAAAAAGCAAAGTGCAGGACAGCAAGTGTGTGAATGTATATGTGTATATATACTATATTTTATCTTTTATAAAAGGGGTAAAATAAGAATATTTACATTTATGTTTCCTTACACATGCAAGAAGAAATCCTGGAAGTATGAAAGAAACTAATAACAATAGTTATCTGTTTTGGGAAAAGGGGAACTGAGTGGAAGAAGAATGTTGGTTGGAGGGAGGTTTTTCGCTGCATTTTTTTATTATTAATTTGAACCATGTGAATGTATTACCTAGTGAAAAAGCAAATACATAAAAAAGAACTGGAGTAACATCTGACTTCTCAACAGCAACACTGGAAGCTAAAATACAATGAAACAATGTCCTCAAAATTCTTAGAGAATTTCCAATTCAAAATTCCATCTCCAGCCAAGCTATCAATCAAGTGTTAGAGTAGAAAAATGACATTTTCAAACCTGAAAGATCTCAAAAGTGTGCTTTGCATATACACTTTCTCAGGAATCTACTGGAAGATGTGCTCTGCCAAAAGAGAGCATAAACCAAGAAAGAGGGAGATATGAGATCCAGGAAACAGTGAGTCTAACACAATAGTGAGCAAAGAAAGTCACTAAGATTATTGTGAAAAGAGATCCCAAAATAAAAGTTGTGTTGCATGCCTAGAGTGCAACCAGTCTAGTTTAAAGCAGTTCAGAAGATTCCAAAGAGAAACTTTGTCCAGAAAATGAAATTGGTAGAATACCTAATTTATATAAACATAATGGAAGAATATTTACATAATTGGGAGTATATTTTGGAAATAAATTGGTGATAAATACATAGGAAAAGAGAGGGGGAAAGAAATTAAATCTAGAGAAAATAAAAAGTTGTGCAGGACAGGAAAAAATAATCCTAATGTACTATGTAACTCAACTTTCAATAACAAGTACATAGTCAACATAATACTGTCAATATAACTAAAATAAGAATAAAGTAATTGGGAGGGCAGGGTATAAGAAATGTAGAAATGTATGATTACAGTAAGCAGTGGTGAGTATAAAAGAAGAGTTAAACTCATCCTCCATAGTGGGAAGTCAGTGACTTAAAACTCAAAAATCAAGAAACAATATAAGTATGTTATTTTGACATAGACAGATAATCCCAAAATAATACATTAAAAGAGTTGAAATTTATTGCTTCTGGGTGTGGGAAATAGTGTTGAGATACAGGATATTGCTGTTTTTCATAGTAAGCTGTTATGTACTGAATCGTGTCCCCCAAAATGTATATATTGAAGCCCTAAACCCTTAACATGACTGTATTCAGAGATAGAGCCTTTAAGGAGGTAATTATGGTTAAATTGGGTACTAAGAGTAGAGCCCTAATCTGACAGGATTGGTGTCCTTATAAGAAGAGACAAGAAAGATCTCTCTCTATCTCCATGCACACACAGAGAAAAGACCATGTGAGGACACAGCAAGAAGGTGGCCATATACAAGCCAGGAAGAGAGGCTACACCAGAAACTAACCTTGATTGCATCTTGATCTTGGAATTCTAGCCTGCATAACTATGAGAAAATAAATTTCTGTTGTTTAATCCACCCAACCTGTGGAATTTTGTTATGGAAGCTCAAGCAGACTAATACATTAGCCTTGTATGATTATACTCATGCATTGCTTAACAATGAAGATACGTTCTGAGAAATGCATTGTTAGGTGATACAGTCATTGTGTGAACATTGTAGAGTGTATTTACACAAACCTAGATGATATAGCCTACTACATACCTGGGCTATATAGTATAAACTATTGCTCCTAGGCTATAGACCTGAACAGCGTGTTACTGTACTGAATAGTGTTGGCAATTGTTACACAATGGTATTTACATATCTAAACATTTAAACATAGAAAAGGTAATGCTGCAACATTACAATGGCTACGACATCACTAGCTGATAGGAATTTTTCAGCTTCATTATAATCTTATGGGACCACCATCGTATATGCTGTCCATCATTGATGTTGTTATGCAGTGCATGACTGTATTGGATTTTTTAAACTATATGCATATACAGCTTTGATTTGAAAAGTAAATTTTTAAAATTCTGAAGGAAATGACCTAAATTTAGAATTTTATATCCAATAATTATCAGTCAAGGGTAAGGGTAGAATACAGGCATTTTCAGACAGGCAAAATCTCAAAGTATTTATATACTATACACTCTTTCTCATAAACATAGATTTATTTTGTCAAAATGAGGTCATAAATCAAGAAAGATGAAGCCACGGAATGTAGGGAAAGCAAAATCCAACATGAAAAAGAGACTAAGAAAATTCCACTATGATGACAAGGGAGTTTCTAGGACAATATCTATACCTTAGGCCTGAAGAGTAATCTTCCAAAACGGAGCAGGAATACCGAAGGATCCATGAACTCTAGGGGAAAAATGTATACAATGAACAACAATAATATATAATAGATGCCAATTACTATGTACCAAGTATGACTCTGAGTGCTTAATCTTTTAATCCTCATAGAAATCGTATGAGATATGCCATTTCCCATTTTAAACATGGTGAAAGTGAGACAGAGTGAAAGAGATTTGTTCAAGATCATGTAGCTATTAAATGACAAATTCAGGATTTGAAGCCAGGCTGTCTAGTGGCAGAGTCTATGCATTTATCTGCCTCTCCTTCTAATGTCTCAATTGTGAAAAATCCTTACATAGACATAATGTAAACACTGAATGTTGATTTAACATAATATAGTGATACAACAATATATTGGGAGAATATGGGAGAAGTGTGGTTGTGTATAGGATGGGAGGTATAAGACAACTGAATCCTTCCACTGTAGGAAGTCCTAGCTGATACATAAAATTTAGAAATCAAGAAATAAAATGGTTGATAAAAATATAAAGGCAATATCAGAAGAAAGAGTTAAGACAATTGTAAGTAATCTGGAATTAAAAGTAATTTTAAAAAGAAATTGAAATTAATTTGGAAGCAGAAATCTGGGGAAGGGAAGGATGAAGGAAGGTTCTGCTGGATTTCTGTAATTGTTATGGCACCCTATAACTGTGAAAAATACATTTTAAAAACCAGATTCTGAGATTGAACATAGAGTAGGACTCCAATTCTGTGTAAAGAACTGGAAACTTGAGAACCATTACGGACTGAATGGTTGTGTCCCCGCAAAATTCACATGTTAAAGCCCTAACTTCCAATGTGGCTGTGTTTGGAAATAGGACCTCTAAGGAAGTAATTAAGGTTAAATGAAATCATAAGGGTGGGGTTCTGATTTTGTAGGATTCGTACTCTTATAAGAGACATCAGAAAGTGCCTCTCTCTCTCTCTCTCTCTCTCTCTCTCTCTCTCTCTCTTTCTCTCAACGCACCAAGGAAAGGCCACATGAGGACACAGTGAGAAAGCAGCCATTGACAAGCCATGAAAAAAGCCCTTACCAGAAATTTTTGGCATTTTGATCTTGGACTTCTTAGCCTCCAGCAAATAAGTTTCTGCTGTTTGTGAGCCACCCAGTCTGTGGTATTTTGTTATAGCGGCCCAAGTAGACTAATAGAAGAATATTATGCTAAGTCACAAAAGGACAAATCATATATGGTTCCACTAAAATGAGGCACCTTCAGTAGTTACATTCATAGAAATAGAAAGTAGAATAGTGCTTTGCAGGGGCTGGGGGAGCAGTGAGGGGAGTTACTGTTTAACAGGTAAACATTTCAGTTTGGGAGATGAAAACAGTTCTGGGCGGGACGTGGTGGCTCTCGCCTATAATCCCAGCACTTTGGGAGGCCAAGGTGGATCGATCACCTGAGGTCAGGAGTTCGAGACCTGCCTGGCCAATATGGTGAAACCCCATCTCTATGAAAAATACAAAAAATTAGCCGGGAGTGATGGCAGGTGCCTGTAATCCCAGCTACTTGGGAGGCTGAGGCAGGAGAATCGCTTGAACCCGGGAGGCGGGAGTTGCAGTGAGCCATGATCGTGCCATGGCACTTCAGCCTGGGCAATGAGTGAAAATCCATCTCAAAAAATAAAAGAAAAGGAAACAGTTCTGGAGATGAATGGTGGTAATGGTTGCACAACAATGTTAATATATTTAATGTCACTGAACTGTACACCTAAAAATGGTGAAGATGGTAAATGTTACGTATATTTTACTACAATTTTTAAAGAAAAAAGAAGGATGTACAAGGGTATGCATAATAATACTCATGGAAGGCTGTATTCTCGGTTTCAATTCTGCACTATTTTCTTCCAAAGCCCCACATGTACTAGGCTTCCTCAGTGTTCTGTCCTCAGTTTTTCCATCTGTACTCCTCACTGAGGCTACCTGACTTACTCTTCTGTTATCATCCATAATATGTATCTTCATCCCAGACATTTATTCTGAGCTCTAGATACATACCTCTCAAATAAGTACTGAGCTTCTCCACTTGTAAGTCCCATAGTGTCTTAGTTTGTTGTGTGTTGCTGTAAGAGAATGCCTAAGACGACATTTATAAAGAAATGTTTTATTTAACTCACAGTTTTGAGGGCTGGGAAGTTCAAGACTGGGCAGTCACATCTGACAACTTCTTTTGAGGGCATCAAAACATGGCAAAGAAACAAAAGGGGAAACAGGTACATGCAAAAGACACCGAGCACAAGAGGCAGACTCACTTTATAACAACCAACCTTCTCACAGTAACTAATCCAGTCCCATGAGCACAAGAACTCTCTCACTCCAAAGAGACTGCATTAAAACCCTCATCAGGACAGATTCCTCATGACACAAACACCTCTTAAGGTTACCACCTCTCAACACTGTCACATTGGGAACTCATCCTCAACATGAGTTTGGATGGTGATAAACCATATTCAAATCATAGTACATAAGCACTTCAAATTCAAAGAGTTCAAATCAGGATTAATCCTCTTCCTCTCCCAAATCTTCTCCTTTATGTCCGAAAAATAAAAGGGGAAGAGAACTGTTAATATCCCTCTCCATTCATTCCTCACTCCAGATTATACACTTTCCCCTACACTAAACTGCCTCAAGGACCAATCAGTTCATGTGATTTTCAGAAATGGACATTTTTGCCCAAGAAGAAAAATTGCATTTTCACCTTTGGAAAGTGGTCTTATATGACTCCTTATATGTGCATGACCCAGCAAAGCCACTGTACTCAAAATCTTAAACCAACCTCTGAGCCCTGAGTCTACTACTACAACAACACTAGAGTAAGAATCTGGAGACCTGAGCAGAGTCAGACCCCAAACTGACTATAAGACCACCTATCTCTCTAAAACATTTAGAAATGTTGTCCACTGCTACCCTAGCCCCATAAGTAGGCATGAGGACTCTTAGAACTGAGCAGAAGGCCCCCCTAAGTCCCAAGTTTTGAATGGTCTTGGGTCTAGAATCTCTCTCTCCTTGTCTTTCTCTCTCTCTCTCTCAGACACACACACACACACACACACACACACACTTATTAAAGAACACTTGAATGCCTGTGTCACATGGGATCTGGTGTAAGGCCATAGCTGTAGATAAGGAAAGGTACTAGTGCAACAGTGGTAGATATCATAGAGGATCTACTCTACCTGATCGTGCAACTGCTTATGCCCTCCAGTCCTGCTTGTGCTTGATCCCATATATAAAACTTCCATCTTGGCTGGACACAGTGGCTCATGCCTCTAATCCAAGCACTTTGGGAGGCCAAGGTAGGAGAGGCCCTCGAGCCCAGTAGTTCGAGACCAGCCTGAGCAACATAGTGGAGCCCAAGTTCTACAAAAAAATTAAAAGATTAGTGAGGTATGGTGATGTGTGCCTATATTCCTACTACTCAGGAGGCTGAGGTGGGAGGCTCACTTAAGCCAGGAGGTCAAGGCTGTAGTGAGCCATGATCATGCCACTGCACTCCAGCCTGGGTGACAGAGCGAGATGCTGTCTCAAAAAAAAGAAACAAAAAAGAAACTTCCATCTCATTGCTGGGGCTACTCAACCTTATACCTCGGTGGATCTGACAGAACTCAGCTCATAAAGCAATTCTGGCTGCATGGCCACTGGATGTCCTATAGTCAGGCATTTCATCTCTACCAGGATGTAGTAGCATGTCAGGAGCTGTTCTTAAAAGGTATATAATTTTCCATTCATATGACATGGCTTTGCTCCACAACCCTAGCTATGTTGTGATTTCGCCATAGGGGCTTCCCATAGGGCCTTTCCCATAGGGGCTTCCAAATACTCCACATGGCATCTTTTTCCAACACAGATACCTCTAATACTAAGATAGGAGATCAGCAGGACTTGTTTTCCGAGCACTGGTAATGGCTCTATCAAAAACAGGCTGATCAAAAACAGGATGCAGTAAAGACACCAAGAGATGATGAAAAAAGCAACCTCTGGTTGTCCTCACTGCTCATTATTAATACTCCAACCAGTGCCATGACAGTTTACAAATGCCATGGCAATGTGCCATGGCAATGACCCAGAAGTTGCCTTATATGGTTCCAGGAACTTCCCACTTCTTTTCTAGAAAATTCCAAAACCCCATTCCTTCATTAGCATATAATTATGAGTGGGTATAAATATAGCTAGCCAGCAGAACTGCTGTCCTGCTCCCTCTGCTGCTCCAGAATGCTACTGTTGCTATACACTGCTGCTGCTGCTGCTGCTGCTGCTGCTGCTGCTGCTCCAGGCTGCTTTGCCTGTGGAGGAGCAACTTTGCTGTACACTGCTACTCAGGGCTCCTCTGCCTATGAGACAGCCCTGGTCTGTCTATGGAGCAGCCATTTCGCTATACACTATTGCTCTAATAAACTTGCCTTCTTTTACCGTCAGCTCGCTCTTGAATTCTTTCCTGAGTGAAGGCAAGAACTCCCCTGGGCTAAGCCCCAGTTTTGGAGTTCACCTGAATCAGTACCATAAGGACTGTCCCTTGTATGCATCAAGTGGCAGAACTGCTTAAAACTGCATCCTGGACCTGCTATAGGGGCTTGTTCTGCTATAGTTCTCAAAGCTGGCACCTTTTGTGTCACCCAGTATATGGGGTGAAACAGTAATTCCAGGTGTGAAATGTGGTATTTCCAGAACCCAAAGAGGCCTACCAGGCAGTGCACTTCCAGAAAATTCTCTGTGAAGAAGGTAAAAAAATACCTTAATTTGTCCTTCCCTTTGAGAGGATATTGTGGCATTCCCCAGGCCATTCAACTCCTAAAAATTATACTTAATGTGGTCAACCCCCTAGGTCTTTGTAGGGTTCATCTCCCATACTCCATAGTGCATGTGCCTTCCTAAGGCCTCCAATGTGCTAGCCCCTTCCTACTCATTTTGGTCCAATTAGCATGACATCACTGACATTGTGGACTAGTACTATATTCTGAAGGATGTTTGAGTGGTCCAGATCTCTTCAGACTGTATTGTGACAGAGGACATGAAAGTTAGTAGAGCACTGAGGAAAAACTGTGTATACATACTGTTATCCATTCTGTGTGAATATGGACTTTCCATTATGATACAGATAGGAAAAAAAAACACATTTTCTAAATCAATAGCTGAAAACTAGGTACTTAAGGCCATGCTTTCTGCTGTAGCAAAGATATCATATCTGGTATGCCACTGCAATTGTCTTACTACTTGGCTGAGTTTTCAGTAGTCTAGTGTCATCTAGGCTCTGTCCACATTTTACAGGTTAAACTGGTGAATTAAATGAAGATATGATGAAGACCACACCTCTTCATTCTCTAGGTCTTCAAAGGCGGCAATAGTTTCTGCCATCCTCCACTACACAGATGCCATATGTTTTCATTTACTATCTTGGCCAGGGAAGGTGAGGACAGTTTCAGAAGCTTCCACTTGGCCTTCTCATATACAAATAGCTCTGACTCCACAGGCCAAAGAACTACTATAGGGCTTGTACCAACTAACCAACTATGTCTATTCCAATTATACATTCAGAGATCAAAAACATAACCACTGAGTGGGTCTGTGAACTCAGTGGGCCCACTGTGAACCCTACCTAGGCCAGGATCCCCTTTAATACTTGGCTCCCATGTGCCTCCATTCTAATAAGGGGGCCAATTAAGACACTTTAGGTCTCTGGGTATCAATATCAAGTCAGAACCAGTGTCCATCTCTTCTCAAAATGTTTGAGTATTTCTCTTTCCTTGGTACACAGTTACCTGAGTAAATGGAAGGACTAGAAAAATCATTACTACACATGCGTTGTAGGGTCCTTCTTCCTGGGCACTCAGCCTTTCCTTCAAATCATGTGTTGTGGATCAAAACCTGACTTGAGACTAGAAGCTGGATAAGTAATTATGACTTTTTATTGAGGCAACCTCCCTCAAACCTGTGACCACCTTTCATTTCTTGTGTTTGTATAGAGTGCAAATTGTTGGCTGCCTATTTCCCCCCAGGATATTATGTTGTATTGACTGTCCATGTCCTATTAACTGTCTCTTAACCATCTACCCACTAGGGGTACTGTGTTCTATTAACCATCTCCATAGCTCTCTGCAAGTCAGGCCTCCCCACCTGCCACTCTGACCCTGTAGTGCATTGTGGTATTTACATCCACTTGACTTCTGACAGTTAAGTGCAGCCATCTTGCCTCTATTGTTTCAGAGGCATCATCATTTCTATCAGTGATCCTTGTTCCATAAGATGCTCTCCTACTCTGAGCCCTGGCATGCAGAAGAGATCCACTACTGAACTTCACATATCCCTCTCACCAGAATATTCCTTATAGCTGTGGTAAATGGTTTGTCCTTTGGATCCTCCTGCAGAATATAATCTTCTAGAGGGTTTTCTGGCCTTACCTAATAGGTTTATTATATAATTCTCACCTCTCTGAGTCTTTGATCCCTTTTTCCACCATCTTCTATGGCAACTCTGGCATTTACACCTCACTTAATGTAGGCCATGGCTTTTTCCATACTTTGAGGCGCCATCGTAGTAATGAGTTCATGTCATTTCCTGTGTTTTTTTTCTAGGGTATTAAATCCTGTATTCTGGGAGAGCACTTTCAAATTGATTAATTCTCTTATATTCAAGTTTATATTCCAGCCCTCCTGATCGAGCTCCTCAGAATTTGGTGCCATACTTATTCCCTCAGCACCTTCTGGTACACGCTGGCTAGGTTACATCCTGAAACTCTTTGTTGGTGTATTCTCTTTCTTTCCTTACTACACCCAGCACATCGCCAGCTAGATTATGCTGTGGCTTAATCCTAGTTATAGGCCCAGTGGCCAGGATAGGAGGTGAGGGCAGATTCTGAGGGAAACCCAGGTTATCTTACAGGGGAAAGGATTCCATATATTGAAGCAAGATGGAGTGCCAGCCCTTAATAGGGAGGAATAGGACACTTCTCAAGGGGCTCAGGGGAATCTGGGAATATAAGAATTTTTAGGGACATCAATCCAGATGTCCCCATCCCAAGTGTCAGAGTCCCATTCCTTCTTAACCATGGCACTGAACTTGGCATAGAAGACTTGTCTTGGTTAGAATTTTAACTTTCTTTGAAGCTTTCTTTTAACAAATCCTGAGTCTACTCCTCAGATTTCTCCACCATTTACCTGGAAAAGATGAGAACCTCTTTATATGTTATGAATAAAGCCCTCTGGCTTTCAAACATAGCTTTCAATTGTTGATTAATTTAATTCAGCTTTTTGTTATTCTTTTCTAGAGCTCAATCCACTTAGCAACAGCCACCCAATTTTCTGGCCTTCCTTATATTTAATATTTCCCATATTTCTCAAAGGTCTGATACATGGCACCAGTTAATGTGTCCCCTTTTACCTGTATGCCACCCCAGTTAACCACATTGAAAGTTTTAACAATTCCTCTGCTACCTTGTTCCAGAGGCCTGTCTACTCCACCTACCACCAATGACGGGTCTTCACTGACAGCTGAGTAGCAGGTGATTCATCTCCAAAATTTCATCACAGTGTTTGCTTTCTCGAACCACTTCTTGAACCAACTATTGCAGGTTGGCTTCCCAGGAAGCAGACCCAGAGACAGAGTTCAGCAGGAAGGGTTTTTACTAGGGAATGCTGTTGGGATCAACACCTGTGGAAGGGAAAAGAAGGAAGCAGGATTGGACAGAGGGAGGAGTGAAGCTGTCCCAATTTGGGGCAAGAAAGCCATATCCATCAGTAATTGGATGTGAAATACCCCCAGGTAGGGGGTGTAACCTTGGGGGAGGTGGCTTTCTTCAGCTGAGGAAATTCCTGAAGAGGCCTGACAGCTGAGGACTGTGTACTTGCCGCACTCCTGGCAATTAAAATAATAAGCTTTTCATTCCTGAAGGGGGATCAGGGCATCAGATGGCAGAATCCACTACAAGCGTGACACCATTTTTTTTACAGTAGAGTAGGTTGGTGGCCATCGAATGCTAGTATTGAGAATGGTTTCATTTTTAAAATACCTAATAAGATTTAAATTTTAAAACACTTATTGCTTTACAAATAATATTTATTTAAAATTTTAAGTTATATTTTCCAAATATGTAGACATAAATACATGAGCCTCCATTTATGCTTTTGCCCCAGGTCCCTCAAATACTATTGGCCAGGCCTGCCTAGTATGAATCCATCCTTTTCCTTGTTGGTAAATTATGCATAAAATTTCATTTATTATATAAATATCATAAATAGAGTTAAATAAAAAACAAATGAGCCCGGGCGTGGTGGCTCACGCCTGTAATCCCAGCACTTTGGGAAGCCGAGGCAGGCAGATCACCTGAGGTCAGGAGTTCAAGACTAGTCTGGCCAACGTGGTGAAAGCCCGTCTCTACTAAAAGTACAAAAAAAATAGCCAGGTGTGGTGGCAGGCGCCTGTAATCCCAGCTACTCGGGAGGCTGAGGCAGGAAAATCGCTTGAACCCAGGAGGCAGAGGTTGCAGTGAGTCCAGACCGCGCCATTGCACTCCAGCCTGGGAGACAGAGCAAGACTCCGTCTCAAAAGAAAGGAAAAAAAAAAAAATGAAATCACCCATCAGTCTAACACCCACAGAAAACTATTAACATTCTCAGAGTATGTAGCAAGATAATTTAGATATATACTTTTTCTTCATTAAAAGTATGGCATGTGCTTTTACAGCCTATTTTTCCCACTTAAGATTATATGCTGAATTTCTAATGTAGGCACATGTAGATGTCCATCAACATTTTCAATAGCTGCATAATATTTAAATGTGTAGACACACATCAATTTGCTTAGCCAACTGCCTATCTTGAGATACTTGGGTTATTTACAATTTTTCACCCTTCCAAACAGTTTGAAGATGCACAGCTTTCCACAAGCCAATTATGTGATTATTTCCTAAAGATACATTTCTACAAGTAGAATTACAGGGTCAATGGATGTGCATATATTCCAATGGACCTTGTACCAGTGTATACTCCCACCAGCAGTTTGAGAGTGCTCCTCCCCTGACACCCTCACCCTCACTAAGGCGTGGGAGCGAGGTAGATCTTTTATGTGTACCCCAACAACACTCTCTATGGTTCCACAAAGGCCCCACCTTAACCAACCTCATAAAGGAAATCTGATACAAGCACTAAAACTTATTCTTTCTTCTAGTACACTTTCTTATTACTTCAAAGTTGTAACTGTTCACTTACATGGATATCAGAATTGGCCAAGAGGACATTTTTCTGTCAAATACCCCAAGGACCCTAAAATAAAATTGGTCCTCTCTGTATGTCTCCAGAATACATCTCAGCACTTTTTGGTTCAAAGGGCCTCTCACATCCATACTCTCCTTACCATTCCCATGGCCACCAGTAAAACTTCACACCTTTATTATCTCATGCCTGGACTAACTTGTGGTAGCTTCCTGTTTTTCCAATCTCCAGTCACCACTCCTATCCCCACCCCAGCTTGGACTCCTGTCGCACATAAATCTACCGTATCGTTTTCCTTTCATCTTGTCATTCCTCTGGTCACAAAAGGCCTTGATGTCTCCCAGGGGTGGATGCAGTAATATTCAGACACCCCAGTTTAGCAGTTAGGGGTGCTCTACGAACAGGACTCACCTTTACCGCCTGACTCTCTCTCTTATCACTACCCTCCCTACACTTTCCATTCCAGCAGGCCAGCACTTCTCTCTGGAGAAGGATTCCCATCTCCATGCCCTTTTTCCCATCACTCCTTCCATCTTGAGTGCCCTTCTGATCCTTTTGTATCCTTGAATCCCAGCTTACCTAAGGGTCCCCCTCCTTTGTAAAACTTTCCTTGAGCACTGTTGCCTGAAGCAGTTTTTGCCACCTCTAAACACTGATAGGAGGCATCTGGCCATGATTGGAAGCTCCCAGTTTTATTACTATCTTTTTGTTTCCATGTATCTTGCCTTTCCAAACAGATCATAAACTCAAGGACAAGGACAATAACTTTTTTCTGCTGCTTAAAACACACAACTTTATTGATGACATAAAAATAAAGTCTTAAATGTATAAACATAAGTCCACACAAAGGACCAAAGATTACCTTACTTATGAAGAATCCGTTCAGTTTCTGCTCATGAAGCATACTAAAAATATCTCAATCCAGACAAGATAAAAATCAACACATGTATTTTTAGTACAAGCTTGAATTCATTTGGTGTTCATAAAATGGTCTGGCTATAGACCATCATAGGTAACATCAGTTTCGAAGTTATAATGCAATTTACAATGTGCATTACTTCCAGAGTGCAAAACCAAAATGTTACTCAAATTTGTTTGGGAACATACAGCAAATCAGAGTTTACTTATTAATAGTTCAACTCTCTCTTTCACCTCAGGGTCATTGCATTCTGCTGCTAAGGCTCGAAGTTTCTTGGCACATGCTTTAGGTCGTTGGAATAGGAAATAAAGGGAATTTTTACTGAATTTGTCCTGGGTAAATGCTTTTGCTCTTCTTTTAAAATGGTAATTTATATTTTCAAATAGTGAAAGAGCATTAAGAATATTCTCCTTTGTCTCTTTCTTGCTAAAAATGTTAATCAGTGATGTCGGTGCACTGGCAATGAGCAAGTCTTTTGTCATAGATGGATTTTTAGAGAAATTCAAAAGCATTCCCAAAACATGATCTTTAGTTTCTCCACTTCCCACTGTTAACAAACGAAGAAATTCTGAAATATAATTTGTAACCATATGCTGATATTCACTGGTAATAGTCAGATGCCTTATCAATCTTAGTCCAGCTAACTGCACATTTGAATTCAAGGGATAGGTGACGGTGTCTTCACATACTTGGTTTAAGTAAGTTTTAACCTTCCTATGGTTTTCAGCAGCCACTGAGATATTATTCAGTGCATTTAAAGCCTTCTGCCTAACACTGGGGTAGGGATTATTGAGCAAGCTTTCAATAACTGAAATTCCACCTACATTACGAACAGCTTCGTGAGAATAAGGATAATCAGCACTGTTATATAAAGCATTATTGGCTATTTCATGAACAGAAGGATCTTCAGTCATCTCAATCATGCAAATGAGTTTTTCAAGATCTCGTGGATCCATATTAGCTTCGCGTTTACAGCGGCAAGACCAGGGCCGAGGTTTTTCCCCAGTCCTGGTTTGTTTTCTGGACTCATCTTCAACTGGGAAACTGGCCTCACTTTGGTGTGGAAACTTAGTTTCCGACCAGATCATGGCTCCATCCCATGACCCCATTCCTGCCCCAGGGACCATGGACGGATATGTGCCTCTTGACTCAGATGACTTTTTGGCTTTAGCCTTAGATGCAGATTTGTCCTCATTTGTATTTTCATTACCATCACAGAACCAAGACCCTATATCAACTCCACCAGCAGCCTCAAACTTATCCTCGATGCTGGTGTTATCCCCAGCTCCAGAATCAAAATTGGCATCTTTCCCACTCTTAGATCTGAACGTATTACTGTTCTCACTCTCAGCCCAAAACAAAGACCTTAAACTGATCTCCTCAATATCGGGGCTGGACTCTCTACTTAGCTCATCCTCTCCCACATCCCTAGCCAAGGTCCAGGACTCTACACCAGCCTCTTCCCCAGCCCCAAGCCTAGACTCTACAGTGGTTGCATCTCCATCCCAGGACCAAACCCCAGCCCCAGCCTCAGCCCCAGCCCCAGCCCCAGCCTCAGCCTCAGCCCTAGCCCCAGCCTCAGCCTCAGCCTCAGCCTCAGCCTCAGCCTCAGCCTCAGCTCCAGCTCTAGCCTCAGCCTCAGCCTCAGCCTCAGCCCCAGCCCTAGCCTCAGCCTCAGCCCCAGCCCCAGCCTCAGCCTCAGCCCTAGCCTCAGCCTCAGCCCCAGTCCCAGCCTCAGCCTCTGCCCCAGCCCCAGCCTCAGCCCCAGCCCGAGCCCCAGCCTCAGCCCCAGCCTCAGCCTCAGTCTCAGCCAGAGCCTCAGCCCCAGCCTCAGCCTCAGCCCCAGCCTCAGCCCCAGCCTCAGCCTCAGCCTCAGCCCCTACACAGGAGCCCATATAAGCCACCTCCTCAGATCTAATCCAGGAGCCACTACTAGCCTTGTTCTCAGCCTCAGTCCTAGAACAAATGATGGCCTCTTCCCCAGCCTCCGATCTGGATGCAGTAGCGGCCTCATCTTTATCATCAGGCTTGGACACAACATCAGCTTTCGCCTCTGTCCAGCACCAAGACCCTATAACGGCCTCAGCCCCAGGCCCAAACCAGAATCCTTCGTTGGCCTCCACCTCAACACTGACCTGGAACCTTCCACTGGCCTGGTCCTCAGATCTAGCCCAGGATCCTCCAGTGGCCTGGTCCTCAGATCCCATCCTAGACCCTCCAGTGGCCTCATTCCCAGGCGTAGATCCAGCCCAGGATTCTCCACTGGCTTGGCTCCCAGCACCAGCCCAGGAGCTTCCCCCACAAGCCTGATCCTCAAATTCAGGCTTGGAACAGTCACCAGCCTGATTCCCAGGCCCAATCCAGGACCTTCCACTGACCTGATTCCCAGTGCCAGCCCAGGACCCACCACTGGACTGGTCTGCAGGCCTAGCTCCCCCAAGGACCTGGCCACCAGCCACACCCCAGGAACCTATTCCACTGGACTGATCCTCAGACCCTGGCCTGGAGCCTCCACCAGTCTGGTCCCCAGGTCCAGGCCAGAACCCCCCTCCAATGGCCTGATCCTCAAATCCAGGTTTGGAACAACCACCAACCTGATCCACAGCCCCAGCCCCAGTCCAGGAGCTTCCACTGACCTGACTCCCAGGGCTATCCCAGGACCCAGCACTGGACTGGTTCGTGGGCCCTGGCCTAGACCCTCCAACATCCTGGCCACTAGCCCCACCCCAAGACCCTCCATTCGTCTGACTCCCAGGGCAAACACAGAACCATCCACTGGCCTGGTCCCCAGTGCCAGCCCAGGAATCTCCACTAGACTGGTCCCTAAGCCCCAGCCTAGAGTCTCCAACAACCTGGTCCCCAGCATCAGCCCAGGACCCTCTGCCACTGGCCTGATCCTCAAATATAGGCTTTGGCCCACCACTAGCAGGATGCCCAGCCCCAGTCCAGGATCCTCCATTGGCCTGGTCCACAACCCCAACTAAGAATCCTCCACTGATTTGGTCCCCAGAGTTAGCCCATGACCTTCCACTGGACTGGTCTTCAGACCCCACCTTGGACCCTCCACCAGCCTGGCCACCAGCCCCAGCCCAAGACCCTTCTTCAGTGGTCTGATTTTCAAATATGGGCTTGGACCCACCACCAGACTGATCAAGTGTCCCAGCCCAGGACCCACCACTGGACTGATCTACATGGCCCAGCCTAGACCCTCCACTGGCTTGGTCTGCAGTGTCAGCCCAAGACCTTCCACTGGACTGGTCCTCAGGCCCCAACCTTGACCCTCCACTAGCCTGGTCACCAGCCCCAGCCCAGGACCCTTCTCCACTGGCTTGATCCTCAAATCTAGGCTTGGACCCACCACCAGATTGATCACTAGTCCCAGCCCAGGACCCTCCACTGGCCTGATCCACGACGCCAGCCCAGTATGAAACACTACTCATATTCCCAGCCCCAGCTCCAGCCCAAGACCCTCCACTGGCTTGGTTCTCAGCCCCAGTCCAGGACCCTCCAATGGCCTCTGCCCCAACCCAGGACACCCCACTGGCCTGTCCTCCAGGCCAGGACCCATTACTGGCCTGACCCACAGCCCAAAGCTCTCCAATGGCCTGATTCCCAGCGAGAACCCAAGACCCCCCACTGGCCTGGTTCTCAGCCCCAGTCCAGGCCCCTCCACTGGCCTTGTCCCCAGCCCAGGTCCCCTCACTAGGCTGACCCCCAGCCCAGAGCCCTCCACTGGCCTGCTCCCCAGCTCTAGCCCAAGTCCCAATACCAACCTCATTCTCAGCCCTGGCCCCAGCCCAGGACTTAACACTGGCCTCATCACAAGCCATAGCCCAAGACCTAATAATCCCAGCCTTATCACTAGCCCCACTCCAGGACCCAATACTGGCTTCATTCTCATCATCAGCCCAGGACACGCTATTTTCCCAGTCTCCATCCATGGTCTGAAATCTAAATTTGATCCACCGCTCAGCAGCAATCCAATCTTCAACACCAATCCCATTCCAGTAGTAGTCATGGATGTTAAGCTGAGTCTTTCTGCAGGCTTGAGTGCCTGACCCACCCTCACTCTCAGAAATGGGCATGGCCTGAGCCTCAGGCTTTGCATAGACCTCATCTTCTGCTGTGGTTTCTGCCTCAGAGCTGGGCATAGCCTTGTCCCTTGCCCCAGGCAAGGTCTCACCCTGGGAACCGGCCACAATCTGAGGCTGGGCAGAGTGCCTTGTGCCTGCCCCAGTCCCTGCTTTAGGCACAGTATTGGTACTGCCCTTGACCTTATTCCTGGCACCAAGCAAGGTCTCACTCTGGGAATTAGCGACAGCTTGGGGCTGGGCAGAGCCCACTGTATCTGCCCCAGCCTCTGCCTTAGGCACAGCATTGGAATTGCCCCTGACCTTATTTTTGGCCGCAGGCAAGACCTCACCCTGAGAACTGGCCACAACCTGTACCTGGACAGAGCCCATTATGCCTGCCCCAGCCTCTGCCTTTGAAATAGCATTGGAATTGCCCTTGGCCTTATTCCTGGCACCAGGCAAGGTCTCACGCTGGGAGTTAGCCACAACCTGAGGCTGGGCAGAGCCCATTGTATCTTCTTTGGCCCCTGCCTTAGACACAACATTGGGATTGCCCTTGACCTTATTCCTGGCACCAGGCAAGGTCTCACGCTGGGAGTTAGCCACAACCTGAGGCTGGGCAGAGCCCACTGTATCTTCTTTGGCCCCTGCCTTAGACACAACATTGGGATTGCCCTTGACCTTATTCCTGGCACCAGGCAAGACTTCACCCTGGGAATTGGCCACAGCCTGGGTCTGGGCAGAGCCCCTTGTATCCATCCCAGCCCCTGCCTTAGACACAGCATTCCAATTTCCCCTGACCTTATTCTTGGCACCAGGCAAGGTCTCACAATGGGCATTAGCCACAGCCTGGGACTGAACAGAGCCTGTTGCACCCATCCCAGCTTCTGCCTTAGACAGAGCATTAAGATTGGCCTTGACCTTATTTTTGGCACCAGGCAAGACCTCACCCTGAGAATTGGCCACAGCCTGGGGCTGGGCAGAGTCTGTTGTATACGGCCCAACCCCTGAATTAGGCACAGTAGTGGAATTGCCTCTGAACTTATTCTTGGCACCAGGCAAGACCTCACCCTGGGAATTGGCCACAATCTGGGGCTGGACAGAGCCTGTTGTATCTGTCCCAGCCCCTGCCTTAGACACAGCATTGGAATTACCCTTGACCGTATTCTTAGAATCAAGCAAAGCCTCACCCTTGGAACTGGCCTCAATCTGAAGCTGGGCAGTGCCCATTGCACCTGCTCCAACTTCTGCCTTAAGCACAACATTGGGATTACCCTTAACTTTATTCTTGGTACCAAGCAAGGCCTCACCCTGGAAACTGACCACTGCCTGAGGCTGGGCAGAATCTGCTGTACCTTCTCCAGCCCCCACCTTAAGCACAGCATGGGGATTGCCCTTGACTTTATTCTTGGCACCAGGCAAGGCCTCACCCTGGGGATTGGCCACAACCAGGGGCTGACCACAGGCCCTCTGGTCTGCCTTAGTCCCAGCTTTAGAAGTGGCATTAGGATTGCCCCTACCATCAACCCTGGAATCAAGCAAGGCCTCAGCTGGGGTCTTGACCCCAGTCTGAGGTTGAGTACAGGTTTTCATGTCCATCCCAGACCCTGTCTTACACTTGGCTTTGGCTTTGCCCCTAGCCTTACCTCTAGTATTAGGTAAGGCTTCCTGGCTCTGGGCCATACCTTGAGCCTTCATATCCACCCCAGCTCCTTCCTTAGGCATGGTATTTACATTGCCCTTGACCTTAATTCTGCCATCAGACAAGGTATTAGCCTGAACACTGGCCACAAGCTGAGGCTGTGTACAGGACAACATGTCTGTTCCATCCCCCGCCTTAGCGATAACATTGGGATTGCCTCTGCTCTTATCCCTGGCATCAGGCAAGGCCTCAACCTGGGAGTTGGCCCTCAGGTTTGCCCTGGCCCCTGCTTTAGTCATGGCATTGGGATTGCCTCTGTCCTTAACCTTGGCATCAGACATGGCCTCAGCCTGAGCGCTTGCAACAGCTTGAGGCTGAGCAGCAGCTCTCATGTCAGCTCCAGTTATTGCCTTAGATATGACATTGGTATTTCCCCTACCATCAACCCCGGCACCAGACGTCACCTCAGCCTGTTTCTTGACCACAGTCTGAGGTTGTACACAAGCTCTCACATCTGCCCCTGCCCCCACCTTACACATGGCATTGGCGTTATTCCCGGCATCAACCTTTGCCCCAGGAATGGCCTCAGTCTGGGTTTTGGCAACAATTTGAGGCTGAGCAGAAGCCCTCGTGTCTTCCCCAGACTCTGCCCTAGACATGGTTTTGCAATTCCCCATGTCCTCAATCCCAGCACCAGGCATGTCATCACCCTTGATCTTGGTGACAGCCTGAGACTGTGCACAGGACTTCACGTCCACTCCAGCCACCTCCCTGGACATGCCATTGGGATTTCCCCTAGCATCAACTGTGGCACCAGGCCAGGCCTCAGACTGAGTCTTAGCCACACTCACAGTCTCTTCCAGAGCTCTTGTCTTGGTTTCATCCACAATTCCAGTCTTGTTCGTGGCCCCCATCTTGACCACTTCCTTGGGTACTGCCAAGGTCTCACTCTGTGTAACCATTACTCTGTTAATCTCTGTCTCTTTTTCAGCCAATATATGAGTTTCAGCTTTGGTCTGGGTCATTGCTTCTCTCTTGGCCTCTGTCTTGGCAATCAGTGCCCAAGCTTTAGCCTTGGTCTGCGTCACTGCTTCTTTCTTAACTATTTTGCCAGCCTCAGCATCAGTTTGGGTCACTGCTTCTTTCATGGCCACTTCTCTGGCTTTGGCCTTGACCTCAGTCAGAGTCACTGCCTCTGTCATGACCAGTGTTCCAGCCACCACTTTGGACTCAGATTGAGTCTCTGCCTCTGCCTCAACCATTGTTTTGGCCTGAGAGTTGGCTCTGTGTCTGGCTATAGCAGTGCCCTTGGTCTCTACTTCAGCCCCAGGCCCACCTCTTGTTCCAGTTTCTGCTCCAATCTCAGCCTGGGGTTTAGTCTTAATCTCTGCTTCACTTTTGGCCAAGGTCTGGCTCTGTACCCCAACCACAGTCTCCATCTTAACTGTGGATCCATTTCTGGCAAGTGTCCTCACACTCTGGGCTCTTCCCTTGGTAAATTTGTAAATGTAGTAGCAGGTGCCAGCCCAGATCACCAGTCCTGCAGTCACCCAGCCCACTTCCTGAGTGCGGCCCATGTAATCACCCCTGCTGAAAGCACGAACAAGGTATGGTAGAGCGCACTTGGGCTGGGGTAAAGAGAGTGGTAGTTGTGGGTGTAGGCCTGTGAGGGTGCTGGTCTTCAGCCACTCAAAGGCCACTACAGCTGCCACTGGAGGTGGACCTAGAAGTGGAGGAAGGAAATGGACTAAAATTTCTCTTCTGATTTTGTTGCATCATACAGATAGATACATATAGGAACAGAAAAGGGTAGAACCATGTGCTTGGTGGAAGAGAGGATGATTAGCAGCCTCTCCATTCCTCTTATTTCATCCTCTCTCCACCTTCCCCAACGCCCAATAATTTTCTTCCAAGGTACTTCTATACACATTTCCATACACCAAATGAACAGTGGAAAGGATGGTAGGAAGTCTGACAATAAATGGGAGCAACCGAGAAGTCCCAGACTTTGATTTCTACTGGACCTACTCTGGTCACCTGTCTACAGGGCCGCACCCTCATACCAACCTGTAATGATCCGAGGCAGTTCCCTCCTCTCCTCTTGCTTATCTTGGCAATACACCCTAAAGTAGATACATAAATTCATGAGATCTCTGGACCTAGAGAGAGACAGACAGACAGATGGAGGGACAGATGGGAGTAGAGAGTTTGTTCTTGATGGGACAGGCATATTATTAGCAAACTACCTTTCTTCAGTCCACCCCAAGACGCTGTCACACTCTTTTCCCTGTACCAGAATTAAGGTGAGGGTATGGAGTAAGTGACAGGGATGGTGGGAAAGGTGGCTGGAAAAGGAGAGGCTGAGGATCCTCATCCTCCAGACTGGTCACTGGTCCTTACTGGATGCACACTGGTCTCCACCAACCCACTCTAGAGGTCTACCCAGGCAGTCCCCACACTCTTACCAGTCTATACTGATCAGGAGCAATCTCCTCTTTGTTTCTTTGCTTCCAGTGATCTTACGCCCTGTAGCAGATATGCAGGCAGATCTATGGACAAGTAAACAAAGAGTAGGTAATGGAAACCGAGTCTCTGGTAGAACAGACAAGCACCCTGATCCCTGACCCCAATGTCTGCCTCGCCAGAGCCCAGGCTCAATATACTAATGTGTACCATTTCATGGTCCCCTCATCAAGTCTTCCCCCAGTCATACTCCAGCCCACCCTTACCCCCATATTCCTATCATTTCCTGCACTGAAATCCACAGGAGGCATGGCAGCACTGTGGCAATCCAGCACTCCACTGAGATCCTGTTAAAATCTCAGCCACCTCCTATGCCCACCCTTTCTTGTCATCCCCAGAGACTATCCCCGCTTCACACCAACCTCCATCCTTCTAGATTGGTCTCCTCCTCTTTCCCTTGCTTCCAACGGTAAACAGCCCTACTGCAGGCCTATGGGAAGACCTTGGAACAGATGGAGAAAAAGAAGAGAGTGGATGTTAAGTACTTGTGACACTTTACCATCTAAGACATAGGTCCCTGTACCTGCCTGTCTGGATTTAGAGACCCATTTGCTGGCAGAAAAAAAAAAAAAAGCCTGGGGCTTCCCCAGCACTGAAATGGGAAGGATGGAAAAGCGAGGCAGGAAAAGTAAAAGGCAACAGACAGAGGCACATTATTTTATTTTATTTTATTTTATTTTATTTTTTATTTATTTTGAGACAGGGCCTCACTCTGTCACCCAGGCTGGAGTGCAGTGGCACGATCATGGCTCACCGCAGTCTTGACCTCCCAGGCTCAAAAGATGTCCCACCTCCGCCTCCCGAATAGCAGGAACTACAGCCTGTGCCACCACGCCAAGCTAATTTTTAAATTATATGTAGAGACAAAGTCTCGCTATGTTGCCCAGGCTGGTCTTGAACACCTGAGCTCAAGCAATCCTCTTGCTTGGGCCTCTCAAAGTGCTGGGATTACAGGCAAAAACCACTGGGCCCGACAAGGCAAATTATTTTAAAACCACCTGTAGGGTTCTAGGGATTTCCCCAAAAGCCCACCATTTCCTTCACCAAGATGGTGAGGTAGGTAGAGGGATCTGGAAAACTGGAGGATGGCAGGAAAGATGGGAGCCCCCAGATCCCATACTCTAGAACCACAGCCTACCGTTGTCTACGTCCCTTTCAACTTATCTCTAGGAGTCTCCAGCAGAAGAGAAAAGCTATAGGGGAAGCCTTTTGCTTCTACAAAATCACTATCCTTCCCCGCCAAAGGCCATCTCAAAAAAAAAAAAAAGTAACATTATTTAATACAATTTATCTTTTCTCGATATTATCTGAAATGCAAATAAAAGCATCTGTAGAAAAGTTTGCTGTCTTTACTGATCTTCAACATACAATTTAAAAGTCCTAAGCTTGGTAAGTAAAATGCAGTTTAGGGAAAGTCCCCAAGCTAGCACCACCCCACATCCCAATCAGACAACCGCACCTAAGTTCCTGTCGTAGAATTCATATAGAACTCCAAAGGTTCAGATAGTGCCTGTACGCCCACTAACCTCCGTGATCCAGTGCAGTTTTCTCCTCTCCTTCCTTTCTCCTCGCCGCAAACAGTTCCACACCGAACTACCGTCCGACAGACAGGAGAGAGTAAAACCACTTAGTGTTGGTCTAGAGCCCAGGACATAGATCCCAATACTCGCCTTTCCGGGTTCAGGAACCTGGTTATCAAACGTCCCTCCCCACATTCTGAGACACCACCCTTACCAACCCCACCGTCCAGTCTCTAAGGCCCACCATTTTCTCTGCAAACGCCACCGTGGCGCATCCCTTCCACTAAATTGAGCAGGAAGCGAACGGACATGTGTGGCCAGCGATTTGAGTGATGGGCATCTCAATCTCTGTATTTTCCTCTGGCGGAGACAATCTCCCCACAAATCAAAGCCCACAGTTCGCCTGCACAGATGTAGGCGGAGGCAGGGGGGCTAGGGAGAATCAGAGGCAAAGGCTCCTCGAACTTGAGGCAGCATAGACCACCGTCCCCTCAAGCCCCGAAACCGCTGCCCGGTTCAGTGAGCTTCTGCCGGCCTGGCCAGGACGCGTGGGCCCCGGGGCCCTTACCTGCTCCGCTATCCCCGGGCCCGATGCCAGCCCGCCGAGCGCAGGGCAGCGGGGAGCTGGTAGCCAGACGCTAGTGACGACTGCACCGAAGGCTGCGTAGCTCTGCAGCTCCGGGTCACGTGAGGACCGCGCGTCACCGCCGAGCTCGTCCTCCTCCCCACCACCCCCTACCACCCACCAAGGGCTGGCGGCCAGTCACCAGGAACTACCCCCTCCTCCACTCCGCACGCACAGACATCCCCCTTCTGCGGTCTGTGCTCGGTGCCCCAGTGCGCACGCCCTTGTCACTCATCTCAGTCCTCTCCAATCTGAGGGCCCACAAGTGGCATCATCGCCTTGCGGTTGGAGTTTACCCATCTTCAGTTACAGGGGAGGGTCTGCATCCCCCTACCCACTCCTGGACCTTGACTGTGGCCTTTTCCGCTTCTTCTTTGAGTAATCCTTTCTTTCTCTCTTAGGCTGTAAGACCAGCACTCCCCACCCGCCCCCTACACGACATGCCCTCTCTAAGTACAATGCCTGCACCAAATGGGCTGTGGAAGGGGGTATCAGGAAGGAAAGCAGAAGGTGCAAGTAGAGCTTTAACTTTCTTTTTTGTGTTCCTTTTTTTTTCTTTTAATATGACATTCTTTTATAATTTTGTAATCAGAAAATACAGTATAGCCATTTTCATTTGACACAAAAAATATTCAGGGCATAAAAATAACAAAAGACTCATTCTTTTGTTTACATTATTTTGTGCCACATTTTAAAATGTTTTCTAGTTACTGTAAACTATTTCACAGTTTTTAAAACAGACTAGTAATTCTTGACATTTTAAATACAAAATTGTCCTAAACAAAACCAGCACGTTTTCAATATAATCTATAAATTAATCTTTGGAAAGACATTTCGTTTTCTAATCTTGACAATTTTACACAAGTGATTTGTAACCTTTGAGGTGCTGGCTGAACTCAGCGTCTTTTTTCAGGTGTCTAAGACCTTCTTCAGAGAAGACTCCTAGAGGATATATATAAGACCCAACTCGTGATGAGCCTACTGCTTTACTAGTGACTTACCAAATTAACCTGCTTTACTAGTGACTTCCCAAATTAACCTGTTTTCCATTCGAGGGGCTTTATTTGGATTTTACATAAGCATGTAATCAGATCAGCCTCACCGCACCCATGGAACAACCAACTGCAAGAGCTTGGATGTAAAGGAGGCTTAACAGGTGGAATTTTCATCCATCATAACACTTAAGATCTCGCCGGTGTCTGCCATTCATGTACTACACATTACCCTAGCAGTGGCGAGTGTTCAATATTTTCAAATGGAGATGGTGGTGAGGGTCTGTGGGTGACTGTGAATCACTGCAACACACCTAATGTCTGTGTCATTTTTTTTTCCCTCACAAGTGGAAGGGCAATGTACAGGATCTCAAGCAGTTGCCAAGAAAAAGAAGTTTTTTCATGTCCTGCCTTGTGTTACAACTTCACTGCAGCTTCCATACAAGTCCCTCAGAATAATCCCAAAACTCAAGGACCAAATATGCAGAAGTTAGTCCCCACGCATCCACCTGTCCCTACTGCAGAGTAATACTCCAAATATAGACCCTCCAGGCAGCCTCTTTCTTAGAACATTGAAAAATGACACCCCAGAGGGAGGGGCTCCACTGTGAGGGGCCCCTGTGTGGAGGAGGCCCTTTCAAGAGCCAAGGAAGGAAGTCCTAGTGCCTTACAATCTTACTAATGACTTTTCAGAACTCAGTTGCCAGTGACGAACTCACTTTCTCCACCAAAGGAAAATATTGATAAATTAATTGAATAAAAATTTTAAGCTTTGGTAAAGTAAAAAAAAAAAAAAACCCATAAACATTGACTGTCAAAAGCTAACTTGTAATAATCTAAAAGCTCTTACATATCATTAGTAACATGATAAACAACCCAATAGAAAAATGTGCCAAAAGACATGAACAGATTTGTTCACAGAAAAGAAATACAGATTACTAATAAACATATGAAAAGATGCTCAAACACAGAAATGCAAATCAAAACAACTATGCCTTACCATGTTTCAAGTATGATTTTCTCAAAGTTTAGAAACTTGATAATGTTGTTGACTGGTTTGTCAGAAAGTGGGCACTCATCTACTCTGTTGGAGGCAGATATTGATGCAACCTTTTTATATAGGACAATTTGGCAAACTCTATTAAATGATAACTATAATATTTCACAAATTCTTTGACCAATAATTCAATTCCTTGGAATTTAGCCAACCTATATACCTACACAGTTTCACAAAGATATATATACCAGAATTTTGTTTTTTTTGTTTTTTTGTGTTTATTTTTTTGCAGTGCTTGTAAGGTTTTAAAAAACTGACACAGTCGGGCGCGGTGGCTCACACCTGTAATCCCAGCACTTTGGGAGGCCAAAGCAGGTGGATCACGAGGTCAGGAGTTCAAGACCAGCCTGGCCAAGATGGTGAAACCCTGTCTCTACTAAAAATACGAAAATTAGCCAGGCGCACTGGCAGGCGCCTATAACCCCAGCTACTCGGGAAGCTGAGTCAGGAGAATTGCTTGAACCCAGGGGATGGAGGTTGCAGTGAGCCGAGATCGCACCACTGCACCCCAGCCTGGGTGACAGAATGAGACTCTGTCAAAACAAAAACAAAAACAAAAAAACCTGACGCAACAAAAAATGGCTATTGATAGGGGAGAGATGAAATAAATCATGTTATATTTATACAATGTGGCTGGTGGAGTTAGGTCTGTGTATCCCGGTGGAAAGATAATTGGGGTGTTTTATTATTTGCTGTTTATTTTACATACAAATTCCACAAGAGTACAATTCTAGTATAAAATTCAAACCCAAGGCCAAGTGTGGTGGTTCACGCCTATAATCCCAATACTTTGGGAGGCTGAGGCAAGAGCATTACTTGAGGCCAAGAGTTTGAGACCAGCCTACATAGGTTTCCCAACATAGGGAAACCCTGTCTATTAAAAAAAAAAAAATAGCTGGGCTTGGTGGTACACGCCTGTGGTCCTAGCTACTTGGGAGGTTACTTGGCAAGAGGATTGTTTGAGCTCAGGAATTCAAGGTTACCGTGAACTGTGATTGCACCACCGTTCTCCAGACCAGCAATGGAGTGAAACCCTGTCTCAAAAAGAAAAGAAAAGAAAATTCAAACCCAGAAAAAGCACTAGTACCACTTTAACTCCCCTATCCTTACCCAAATCACAGTTACCTCTCCATTTTAAGTTTGGTGTGTTAACCTTTTGTATACATAATATACACATACATGTCTTACTAAAATATATAAATGAGATTTTTTTTATATGGAGTCTTGCTCTTTCACTCAGGCTGGAGTACAGTGGCACGATCTCGGCTCACTTCAACCTCCGCCTCTCGGATTCAAGCGATTCTCATGCCTCAGCCTCCCTAGTAGCTGGGATTACAGGTGTGCACCACCATGCCCAGCTAATGTTTGTATTTTTAGTAGAGACTGAGTTTCACCATGTTGGCCAGGCTGATCTTGAACTCCTGGCTTCAAGAGATCCAACCACCTGGGCCTCTCAAAGTGCTGGGATTACAGGCACGAGCCACCACGCCTGGCCAGGATCATAATTAACATACTGCTTTGCAACTAGATTTTTTTTCACTTAAAGTTATGTCTCAAAGAGCTCTACATACCAGTACATTTAAAGCTGCTTCATTCTTTTTAACTGCTTCATATTATAAGTTCTGGATCTGGAGCTAATAAAGCAAGTTTACAATGAACAATCTGGCACATACAGCTTTGCCAACAGGTAGAAGAATTTCTTTAGGATATTCTACTGTAAATATAATTATTTGATTAAATGTATGAGATTTTAAACATTTGATATTGCCAAAAGAAGGATATGAGATTTTATATCATTAATGGATGTACCACCAAACTGTCCTCCAAAAAGGCTGGGCCAATTTATACCCCCATCAAACATAAGACAGGATCTATTTCCCCACACCCTCATGCACACTGTGTACAAATGTTTCTCAGCTTATAATGGGGTCATGTCCAAATAAATTCATAGGTTGAAAATACCATAAATCTAAAATGCATTTAATACATCCAAACTAGCAAACATCATAGCCTAGCCTACCTTAGAAATGCTCGGAACACTCACATTAGCTGACAGTTCAGCAAAATCATCTAATGCAAAGCCTATTTTATAATAAAGTGTTGAATATCTCACATAATTTACTGAATACTATATTGAAAGAAAAACAGAATGGTTGTATGAGTACTTGAAGTACAGATTTTACTGAATGTGTATTGCTTTTGCACCATCAATTAAAGTAAAAAAATCATAGGTTGAATCGTCATAAATTGGGGACCGTCTGTATTAGTAATTATTGCCAGCATAAGACTCAACAAAAGATTGTCCTTTTTTTGTTTTGTTTTGAGATAGGTTCTCACTCTGTTGCCCAGGCTGGAGTGCAGTGGTGTAATCACAGCTCACTGCAGCCTCGACCTCCCTGAGTTCAGGTGATCCTCCCACCTCAGCTTCCCCAGTAGCTGGGACTACAGGCGCATGCCACCACGCCCAGCTAATTTTTGTACTTTTGGTATAGACGGATTTTTGCCACGTTGCCCAGATTGGTTTTGAACTCCTGAGCTCAAGCAATCCACCCACCTCGGCCTCCCAAAATGCTGGGATCATACAGGTGTGAGCTACTGCACCTGGCCCAGATTGTCCTTTTAATTCACATTTTCCTAAATATCTATTATCTTGAGCATAATTTCACATGCTTAACATCCATTTGCATTTCTTCTCTGAGTATTAGTTAATATCCTTTGAGTATTTTCCTATTCAGCTGTATTTTTCTCACTGGTTTGCAGGTCTTTACAATTTCTGTAATTGTTATTTTTCTATTACAAAGGTTGTACATATACTTTCTCAATCCATCTCTAACATCTTAATTTTATGGTATTTTTGATATTCAGAATTTTTACTTTTTTAGACAAGGTTTTGCCGTGTCGCCCAGGCTGGATTGCAGTAGCGTGATCATAGCTCACTGCAGCCTTGAACCCCTGGGCTTAAGCGATCTTCCTGCCTCAGTCTCCTGAGTAGCTAGGACTACAAATGTGTGGCACCACACCAAGCTAATTTTTATTTTTTGTAGAGACAGGGTCTCACTATATTCCCCAGGCTGAGATCCTCCCACCCAGACCTCCCAATGTGCTGGGATTACAGGCATGAGCCAGCACTTTGGATTCTGGAGCCATGGCACCTAACTCCAGAATTTTTACATTATGATGTGGTCAAAAACATTAACTTTTTCTTGTACGGCTTCTGGGTCATTGCATATATATGTGTGTGTGTGTGTGTGTGTGTGTGTGTGTGTGTGTGTGTGTCTCCAAATCCCAGCACCATTCATATAATAGTCCATTATTCCTCAATAAATTTAAAAGAGC